TTGGCCCAGTATCAGGCAGTGTTTTGTTCTGTTGTGCATAGGGTTGCTATGAGTCAGTACCGACTCGAAGGCACCTAACAATAACAACAACATATGCATGTGAAAGCTGGACAGTGAATGAGGAAGGCCTCAGGAGAACAGATGCTTGAGTTATGATTTTGGAAAAGAATATTAATACACCATGGTGGACTGCTAGAAGAACAAATAAATCTGTATTGGAAGAAGCACTGACAGAATGCTCATTAGAAGCCAGATGACGAGACTTCATCTCTCATAATTCACACCTACTATCAGGAAGAATGAGTCCTTTACCATGCTAGGTAAAGTGGAGGATCAGCATAAAGGAGGTAGACCTCTAACTAGATGAATTGGCACAGTGACAGCAGCAATGGGCTCAAGCTTAACGATTGTGAGGATGGTGCAGGACAGGATAGTGTTTCGTTCTATCGTGCTATGAGTTGAAACTGACTTGACCACCCCTAACAACAACCATTATGCTTCCTCTGTAGGAAATATTTCTAGCCCCTTAAATGTATTTCAGGATAGCGCCAAATCCACATACCTAAAAGTGAGTGCTAAGCAAACCCCTCTGTTCTCTCCCCACAGAGAAGGTGATGCCAGTCCAGAGACCCCACCTGAGAGTTTATGGCAGAGCATAAGCTGTCCCAATGCAAGATTTTCTGGTTTTCCAGAGTACAACTCAAGAAGGTGGAAAATAGGAAGTAAGTGTGTGTAAGGCTTTGAGATAACCCTGTAATGAGGCACAGATAGAGAGCTAGAGTGGATCTCAGAGATGGCAGCTGTCAAGATGAAAGGAGACTGAGAATAAAAGCTGTGCATAGCATCAAACACATTTGTTTAATCCTCAGCTATAGTGAATGTGGGTTTAAAAATCATTTCCAAATGACTGCTCTTTGCTAAGGGGTGATATTTGTTGTCCTATGCCTCTTACAAGTTTTCCATTAGCTCCTTTCTAACAAGTAGAACTCAACCCAACATGTCCTTCTACTATGGGACTATTTGGAAAATGTTCCAATCACTGATAACTAAAGAGATGCATTTCTGTAAAATTTTAAATGAATTTAATTTTTAAAATAATATTTAGTGTGGTGCTGTAGCATAAACACTGGACTGCTAACAAAGAGGTCACCGGTTTAGATTCAGCAGCAGCTCCCTGTAAACCCTATACGGAGTCACTATGAGTCAGAACAGATTGGATGGCACTTCACATTTTATTTAGTAGATTGCTGATCCCTTCCTCGAATCAAAGGTAATGTTGTTAATTTATGCACACTTGAATAATTTGGGTCTTAATTTCTAAGTTTTAATAATACTTTGTTAATGTAGTTTTTTATGGTGGTGGTGGTTGTGTGCTTTAGAGTTAGTTCTGACTTATAGCGGCTCTGTCTCGGAATTGCAATGTTGTAAGTCTTTACAGGAGCAGAAAGCCTTATCATTCTTTCATGGAACAGCTGGTCAATTTAAACTGCTGACTTGTGATTAGCAGTCCAGTGGATAACCCACTACACTAGTTGTGTATGGTGGTGGTGGCTATGTACCGTGGAGTCGCTTCTAACTCATAGCAACCCTGCATAGGATTTCTGAGGCTGTAAATCTTTACGGAAGCAGAAAGCCTCGTCTTTCTCCCATGGAATGGCTGGTAGTTTTGAACTGCTGACCTTGAGGCTAGCAGCCCGACTCATAACCACTATGCTACCAGAGCTCCTTTTTTGCATGGTATACAAATTATCCTCATATCCGTGGCTTCCTTTGGGAATATCATATTTATAGATGAATAAAGGAGTGTGACTTTCTGGATGGTGCAAACAGTTAACACACTCATTTACTAAGATAAAGGGTAGAGGTCTGAATCCACCCAGAGGCACCTCAGGACGACAGTCCTGGCAGTCTGCTTCCAAAAAGTCAGCCATTGAAAACCGTCCTAGGGAGCACAGTTCTCTTCTGACACACATGAGGGCAAGGAGGCAAGTGGTTCAGAAAAAAATGTGAAAGGAACTTAGGAATTCTAGTGTAAATGTTCTTTCCATGTCAAAGAAATCTTTGTTGTTGTTGTTGTTATATGCCGTGGAATCAATACCGACTCATAGCCACCCTGTACAGGGTTTCTGAGGCTGTAAGTCTTTACGGGAGTAGAAAGCCTCATCTGTCTCCTGTGGAATGGCTGGTAGTTTCGAACTGCTGACCTTGCGGTTCGCAGCCCAATTTGTAACCACTATGCTACAGAGCTCCAAATATAGAAAAGATACTTAATTATTTCTCACCAGTATCCTTCCAGAAAAGAAATTGTGAAACATGTGAAATTTAAGAAAGAAAAAAGAGATAAATATTACCTTTTCTAACTCTTTAGGCTCTTTTGTTGAGTAATATAATCCTAGCATGCTTTGAGCCTTCACGCTAGCTTTTGGATTTCCATTGTCTGCAGCAAAAAGCCACAGTCTAAAAAAGAAAGACATAAACAAGTTATTCTAGGTGTGGGTATTTCATTAAAATAAAGTCTTGTTTTCAGGAAAGATTACCTTTCAGCTTCCTCATCTGATCGTTTAACGCCTTTTCCTTCATAATAAGCTCTTCCAAGGTTGTAAGCTGCTGCAAATTGTAAATGTCTTGCCTTGGGACATGGCGATTCAACGATTTTCTTCATATAATCCACTCCTTTTTCCTTCCACAAAGGAAAAGAACAAAGAGCCCCAGTTTTTAGTTTTACCCAAAGAAAAATCTTCCCAATAATGTAGTGTTCACCCTCTGAAATGGTGTATAAAATCATGAAACTATGTCCAAGTGGTCTGGTTGCCCTGTACTCTTCCGGGCTAGAGGAGGAAGTAAGGAAAGAAGTAAAAATCTCCTGATCAGGCACTTGTGAGTTCAGGAATGAAGACATTAGTTTTAGCCCCCGCTTCATTTTTTAATTTCCAGATGTCTCAATATGGTTTTCCTTGTTTCTCTCCTCCTGCAAGCCCAGTAACCTTTATCTTGAGCCGGTGCTTATTAGGATAGAAATTTTAGAACTTATCAAAGTCAAGGATAGCAAGTAACTTCTTTCACATTTATAATTTTTATAATAAAGTTGTGAGCCCCCAAACAAATGCTTCTCTTCTCTTTAAGTACATTTCCTTACTTAAGTGTGCTCAGTGATCATTTCCATCCAATATGCTAATCTTTATATGTCACAAAGAAAGTAGCAAGAAATTCTACACAATAACAACAAAACAATTTTTTTAAAAAAATCCATCAGATCCAAACTTTCAAATGTTACACAAAAGGAAAAACTAAATTTTATATATCTTGTTGTTAAGTGCTGTCCAGTCGGTTCCCACTCATAGTGACCCTGTGTAGGGTTTCTGAGGAGCAGCTGGAGAACTTGAACTGCTGACCTTGCTGTTCAAACCAACCTTACAGTCCAGTGCATTAATCCACAGCGCCACACCAGGACTTCTTCTGTATATATATAGTCAAATATATTTTTGTACACCTACATTCTAGCTTTTACTTTCTCATTGCTCTCTCAAAGTGCTATTGCTATGTAACCCCCATGGAAATAAAAAAGAAAATAACAATATTTTACTTTTAGTGATTCCCCGATTACACCTCTCCTCAGTTATCAACATGGCTAGGTTCCAAAGACTAGGTTATTGTGCAAAGATCGGCATTGTGTGAAAATGGAGAATGCTTGTATCAGTACCTAACTACCAAATTACTCCTTGACTTAACTTCCAAACCACTGAGAATCATGGTGAGCCAAGTCAAACATAACCTTAATCGTCACAGCCAGTGTTACTCTTGCCTGGCACCTCAGCATTCCTTACTGCCAGACTTACATCACTAAGGCAAAAATAGTCAGGTAGTAAAATTTTAGATATTATAAAAGTAAAATGTTGGATAAGGAGATAGTCATTAAGTGAGGAGGATGTGTATAGGGATTTCTTTTTGTGAATTTACGAGTTACGTATCTTAGCCTTTTACAACTTAATAGTAAAAGAGAACTTAATGCTAATGATATTAAAGGGGGCATAAATTGCCCCACAGATAATTATTAAATCTGAACAAAATGTAAAGAATAAGCTTTTAAAGGCACTGGAAAGTTACTAAAGCAAACACAAGCTGGTGGAAAGATTATTCTTGAAAACCACAACTGGAAGGAATCTAAGAAATTCAATGAGCTTTAGGCAGGAGAAATGTAAATAAACCCACTTAGAGGCTCATCTTAGTCAGTCTGCTGAAAGCCAAAGATAAAATCGTGAAAGCAGTCAAAGAAAAATGACACAGTCTAAATAAGGAACAATACAATTATCTGACTTTTCCCAAGAAAAAATGGAGGGCAGAACATTTTAGAATGACATATTTAAAGGTGAAAGAAATAACTGTCAACCTGAGATTCAAAGTTGGAGATAATTTATCACCTGCTGATCTGCACTACAAGAAATGCCCTTTAAAGGAAATACTTCAGATTGAAAGGCAGTGGGAAATGATACCAGATTGATAGGAGAGAATGGAGGACACCAGGAATGATACATTTGCTGTTATTGTTGTTGTAAGGTGCCATCAAGATCATACTGACTCATAGCTACTGTTTGCACAACAGAATGAAACACTGTGTCATCCTACACCACCATCACAATCATTGGCATGCTTCAGTCCATTGCTGCTGCCACTGTGCCAATCTGTAAGGAAGACCATAGAAGATTTGATATATTTGAGTTATGGTGTTGGAGAAGAGTATTAAAAGTACCATGGACTGCCAAAAGAACAAACAAATCTGTGTTGGAGGAAATACAACCATAATGCTCCTTAGAAGCCAAGATGGCCTGACTTTGTTTCTCGTTATTGTTGTTATTGTTAAGTGTCATCAAGTCGGTTCCAACTCAGCAACCCTGTGCAGGGCTGCCGAGGAGCAAGTGGTGACTGCAGTTCAAACCAATGCGGTCCAAACCAACCTTGTGGTCCAGTGTTTTACCACACAACACCACACCAGGACTCCATACTTCGGATATATTATGAGAAACCAATCCCTGGAGAAGGACATCATGCTTTATAAAGTAGAAGGTCAGTGAAAAAGAGACCCCCAATGAGATGGATTGGCACACTGGCAGTAGCGATGAGCTCAAGCATAGCATAATAATTGTGAGGCTGGCGTAGGACTGGGTGGTGTTTCATTATGTTGGACATAATGTAGCGATGAATCAGAAAACTGACTCAATGACTCCTCAGAGCCCAAAGGTGGAGACAGGGGCTCTCTGCAATGCAGTGACTCCTGGACTCTGGGCAAACAGGTCCTCAGGGACTGACCCAGGTCAGGTCAGACTAGTGTCTTCACAGACTAGGGCCATTAGTGCTGTTGCCTTGGTGTCACCTGCAAACAAACCCAGAGCGGGCAGGGCAGGTCAGGCCTTGGCCTTGGATGTGTCAGCAGGCCAGATGGAAGGGTCATGGTGTTGCCCGTTCAGAGCTCTGACAAGCTACATCTCAGTTCCTTTTGAACCTTTTTCCTGACATTGTTCCAATACTGGCCCTTGAGAATCCAAGAAAAGTGAAAGCATTAATTTTCCAGCTGATGGTTGACTTTGTGTGTGTGTGTGTGTGTGTGTGTGTGTGTGTGTGTGTGGTTCTTTTTATTTTGGGGAGGTGGGATGTACACCAAAACACTCAGGAATATATAATCATTTAAACAAATGATTGATTATTGAACTTTTTCTTGGTTAGTGATTGAAGATGTTTCTATTCCATACTCTGTCGCTTACTGTCAGGCTCATAGTGATGAATCCGTGTCTCATCACCAGTAACGATTTATTTTTAATGTTTTATTGTGAATTATGTGATCGTTTACATGGGAGAACATTAGTTTTACATTCATTCTATCATACATCGTTTCATTGCCATGGTTACAATCCCCTCCCAGTAATGATTTTTTTAAAGAAACTTTTACCATCCTTTGAGTATCAGTCCAAATTTTGTTTCCTGATATACAAACACTTCTGTTTATGCTCTTCCGTGAGTTGTTTCAGTAACCATCTTGCATAAACATTTTGAAATCCAAGTCTGTCATGGATTATTTTATAGGCAGAGCCTTGTCTAATTTGCAGAAGATTTGCCACATAATCCACTGTCACTCAGCTAATCAACATAATCATTTCACATGCACATTCGATGTTGTCATCAGCCGTGGACGTGGATGGGCATTTTAATATAACTGGAGTGCGGATCAAAAATTTTCTGCACTCCAGTTTTATTAAAACTTCGGTTTGCTGTGCTGTTTTATCAGTGTTTTCTGTTTAAGGTCACTGCTGTGCAGATGTGATGTGGGCATTTGCAAACAAACTTTGGACTGATACTTGAGGGTAAAAATTTCTTTAAAAAAAATCATTACTCGTGACTAGACATGGATTCATCACTATGAGCCTGCAAGTAAAACAGCACAATCTGCAATAGAAACATTCTCAATCACGACCAAGGAAAAGTTCAAAAGTCAATCATCAGTTGGAAAATCAATGTTTACAGTTATCTCGGATTCTCAAGTGCCAGTATTGGAACACTATCAGGAAAAATGTTCAATGATCAACAGTGCTCATTACAATGAGATACTCACTGAATTGCTGAAGCCTAAACTTTGAATTAAATGCAGAAGACTGCTAGCCAAGGCCATTGTGATCTTGCATAATGATACACATTCACATACCTCTGCCCATACTGATGACACTGCAAAAAACTTCCTTTTGAGGTGTTAAAACATCCTCCCTATAGTCCAGATCTTGCTCGGTCGGAGTTCCACCTATTTGGTCTCCTGAAAGCAGCCCTTCCAGGATGAAGATTCACCTCTGATGAAGAAGTGAAGACAGCAATCCATTCATGGCTCACAGCTCAGCCTAAAACATTTTTTAAATAAGGAAATATGAAAGTTTGTTGACTGACCTGGAGATGAGAGAGAGAAGAGGAATGGCTGGTTGGTCCAAAGTGTGGTGAGACCTGTGGACACCTGAGCCCATGGACAAAGACATAGCCACATAGGCTAGAACTGTGAGTGAGGCATCCAGCTGATATGAAGTCAGGGAAGATGCACAAGAATACCCAAACTTTCAGATAGTACCCATATGGACTAGCCACGATGACTTGATAATCAGAATTCGACTAGAGGAAGATTACAACAACAACAATAACAAAAGCAATTTTTCAATAAAGGAAACGAGGGTAAATTGTTACAATTTGATGAACTTGACCTATATTCATGGTGGTAGTAACTCTAATACTAACAGAGAGGGAAGGAGTCTTCACATCAAGTTTCAATGCTATTCCCTTTGTATACAGGGTAGATAGGGACAGGCAACTTAGATATTGGCTACCTAAAATGAGGTTATGATAAAGGCACTAAGTTACTGGCGTACAAGGTTTCAAGAGGGAGTTTAAGAGTATGTGGAGGAAGAAAGAGTCCCCACTGAATAGTTTTCATCTTGTCTAGATGGGTCTGGTTAAAAGAGATGGGGATAAAATTCTTATGATTCAATAGTGCGTAATTGTTATCATGACTAATTGCGACTGTCACAATTGTAAAGGTAGAAGTTTAGCAACAAAAACAGGGGAGTAGTTAATCTTACAATCCAGAAACAAAGGACCCTAGGGCCATCAAGGGAAAAGAGCAGAATGCAAGACCTTATCCAGAGATCTAGTGAC